ATATATATAAAACTTTGAAAACATGACAGAGTTCAATTAAAGCGCGCCTTATGGTGCATTCTAATATTATTTAATAAAAATCGCAGAGTGAAGAAATACTAAAATGCGAGAACTACAAGAAATGATTCGTTAATTACAGTTTATTAATGCTAGTATTATATCGGAAGATTGTATAAGAACATAGTTATTTTACATTTTCCTTATTTGAACGGTCTGCTTTCACTTCGAAATTATTGTTATATAAATAAATAAACTGTATTCGTTTAAATAATCGAACTAGGAAGTTTTGAGTTTTATTAAGAAAAATATGTATTATTACGTTCTAACGTAAAAATGGGTCAATATAAGCTCCATCAAATAGAAGTATATTACTTCTTGGTACTTAAAACATTGGAATAAACTGAACTTTTCTGTGTAAGAGGCCAGGAATAAAATAGGTCAGCACCTTACAATCCAGGGCCTAGTTGTTACTCTTATTAAGGCTGATGTTTTTACCATGACTGTGGGAAAACGTAAGGGATCGTGAGTAATAATTTATATCAAGTACAAGCGCTGTGATACGAGAGTACGCAAATTATCATTTCGTGTATACAATGAAAGCTAGTAATGGACCAGTAATTTCTGGTTTTGAGGGAGTCCGTTTCAACCTTAAGATTTCGAATGGTGGCTGTTAAAACAATTAAAAATGTAAAAAATTAACGGCAGGAGCAGCTTTGATTTGAAGTGTCACTCCGCTTGAGTGTAATGCTCTTTCCTATTTCGACGTGCCCTCGAAGTGATTTTAGGAAATTACAAAAAATGATCTCCTTATGTTATATTTTAGAATAATTATTTATGTCTCGAGTATTTGTCTTTGAAGAAAACGTATAAATACCTCATCTGTCAATGAGTGAACTCTCTCGAACGAACAATGTGTCTCTCGCCCCTGTTGTTAGTTTGAGGTTGTGTATTTCACAAGCAGATACTACGCATTGACAGGCTATTCCTCAGAGTTTATTTATTAAGTTTGCGTCAAAAACTATTCAAAATATGTGTCGTTCGAGGGGGAGAAAAAAGCTACAAGTGTGTGTCATACTCCTTGCAGGGAACCTATTCTGGGCAACTTTATTTCCTCTGGGTGCATTCGCGGATTAATGAGATTTGAACGATTTACTTTCTGTTTGTGGACACCGACGATGAGACGTCAATTAAAAGTTTTAATCGATAAAGTTACAATGCTAACACACACAAACTGGAAGTCTGAAGTTTCAATTGAGAAGACACTTGTGTGGGAGCCCCCGTTACTTTCATTAAATACCGATTACTTTGAGACTAGTACGGTTGAGTGATATGCGAGGATACATCACAGTTGTGCCAAGAGATAAGATTGTTTTGCATGAAAAGCTTTTATAATGCCGTGAAGTATTTTCGACATATTTGTTTTTTTGTTTTTTTTCATATTTTCTTTTCTTTATCCTTCAGTTTCGAACTCGTATCCCAATCCGGTTTCTTTTCTTTGGTTGTTTTTAAGTCTTTCAGATCGATTCGGATAGCCGAGATCTGTAAGACAGAAGTGTCGTGGCGATCTCGGATCGAAGGATCGCGGGATCGAATCCCGCCTCGCGTGGTCATTGATGTATTTGTGATCGTCCCTTCACCCTTCATTTTCATCCTACCATTTCATTAAAGAAGGATTTATAATTCCCTGCGCGAGCAGGAGGCCCTTGCCTTTAATGGGATGTGCAGTTGACTAATTAAAAAAAATAATTTAAAAAAAAGTCTTTCAGAAATGTTATGTGATCTCAAAATCAATGTAGGAAATAAATAGGACACGTGTGTTTTAAATATTCCTCCCCCTTTTTCGAGTGTAAATCAGAGGCAGTTTGCTTAGAAACAGAAACCAGGCGAGTGAATCTACCACATCCTGGACAATATCTTGCCCACTGGCGCCGTTGATGTTAGACGTTACTCATTTTCTATCAGAACGCACGCCGCCGGAACGCACAGTTGTCACGTGTATGTCTCTCGAATTCCGTGTAGTAATAAAGTTGCAATAGCGGACGCAACGGGAAGGGACATTGTAAAAAATGTCGTTTGTCCTCCTAATCCCGAAATGAGTTACAAAAACAGCCTCTATACTACGGAAATTTGCTGAGTGACAGTGGTCGTAACGCGACCACCGCCTGGGTTCGACCTCACGTGCCGCGAGGTAAACACGAAGCGTGGCGTGGAGCGCCGTTTCCTGGAACGCTTAGCGCACTCTGCGGTCGTTCCCTCCGCCGCACCGCATGATCCGGCGCGGGCGGCGCGGCGCTGTGCTGCCCGGTCGAAGCGGCCACACCCTGCGTGCGGGATGTGCTAATTATTGCGGCGGTGGAAGTAGGTCACGTTGTGTGTCCGCGGCCGGAAGCGCTGTGACGACAGGCTCTTCTGTGCCCCCCACCCCCACCCCTCACCGCAACTGCTCCGTGGCCGCCCCTGCCTGCTTCTCTCCCTTCACCTCCGCCTCAGGGTGTGAATTCCACTTCTTTCTCATTTCTGCTGTCTTACGTCTTACAGTGTTTCGCAACTTATATTCGCGGTTTACTTTTGCTCGCCTAAACCATTAGTTTCAGTACACAGGTGTAATAAAAATATATTTTTATTTCACCTGTTGTACTGAAACTAATAAAAATGTGAAATGTGTTCTGAAGCTAATAAAAAAGTCAGTTAAAATTCATAAAATTTTGTACGTATGTTGATACATAAAATTTCCATTCATACAGCTTTAATTCGTCAGTTTTCTAAATACTTCTGTACTCCTAACAGTTTTCTAATTATCGACTGTATTGATGAATAACATGTATTTTTTTCTGGTGGGGTTCACTATGAAGTATATGGTTTTTGAAAATTAAAATCTACATCTATATTCTAAAATATGTTTACATAAGGCATATTTAATTTGCTTTTATCTTGTAATTGCTTGTAATTAACTTAGACATTGATGTTAAAAATCCCCTTCCGCGTCACCTTTGGCCTACTGTGTCGCTTGAAACATTTGTACATTCTATGATCAACCGCGTTTTAATACTCTTTCCGCTGTTGAATGCAACTACATTTTTTACGTGGGATCTCTGCCTGAGTATCAGGATCTCATGTTCACCCCTAGTAATTAGGAACCAATTTTATAGTGATTTTCATTCTGACATTTGTACTAATACACTGGAATTATACACATTTGTATTAATAAACTGGAATTTACGTATGTACCTACTTAAGATCACAAGATTTATCCTGCAAATTAAAAAACTGCTCCATGGTTTTCATACCCGTGCTCGATTCACAAACTTAACGATATTCGGGGAAAGTTTTTTTTAAATTGTGTGTATTCTACTGCACAATGTTGAATGCAACATGGCTGTAGGATAGATAGAGGCGGTCATTTTTGTTAATTCCACATCTTTATTTTATATTTTTCTAACTTTTTTAAGTTCTGTTATATTCCAAAATAAAAATCTGATTTTAACTCCCTTTTAAAAAGTACCGAAAAAATCATGCATACGATTTTAGCGCAAAAGATTGATTTTACTAGCGCGCGATCGTTGCTTTAAAAGGTGAGTCGAGTCGAGACCAATGTCGAGCCGTAAACTGAAGGTAAACTTCTGTTTCCAAATGGAAGGCATGGTATTATGCTCAACGGACTTCCCTACTTATAAGAGATTATTATTTGGCTTTACGAATTTTAAGTGATTTTGCATGAAAGTTGTAAATGTCATTCTAAGCTCCAACTAATACAATGCTTGTATTTTTTCTCGAAAATTTATTATTTTTAGTTTGAAGTATACTAGAAAATCGTTGGAATGTCGCCGTTGACTCTATATCATTATGCGGTACTGTCACAGTTGTGTTTGTCCAAAGGGGAAATATAAAGTTTACGACATAACTCCTTTACCACACAGAAAAAAGTTGCAAACCCAAACATGCAGAAGTGGAGATAATATTTGTGAATTACGCTTCGTTATCTGTAATAAATGAGTGAATTTTTCGCATAGGTGGATATAGTAGTGTTATAACCAGCAACCTTCGTGAGTGCTCAACGATATGGTTATCTGCTTGCTCTAGATGGGATTTGAACTCGTAACGCACAATTCAGAATCATTGCCAAACGAGCAGCTACAACTCTCGATATCGGCAACAATTCTTGTGCATACGGTGGTAAATAATTTATATTTTTACAGAAAAGATCTCAAACATATTTTGCTTGTGAATGATGAGTCCCACTATGGGTATAGAAATTCTGAATGCCCCAATTGTCTGACAATAGTCATTTGATCGTGAACTATTTTTGTACGAGCCTTTTTTATGATTATTTTGCTCTTCATTGCTTTTTGCTTTGTTTATTACGGATCGGAATTCATTCCATCGTGTTTCTTGGTGTGTACTCTAATCTACATCCATTGCATTATAAATATTTCGGGAAGTAATCATAAGTAACAAAAAAATCGAGTGGCCTGCAACCTTTAAAATGTCAGAAAGGTGTTCCATAACGCTACAAGTGAATTGCAAATATTTAATGGCGGTCAGCCTCTTCCTTAGAGCCTTGCTGTCGCTTGACGTCACCTGTCTTGAGCGGTGACGCACTGAGTATAAGAATATTCCTAAGAAAAATACACGATCAAATATTTGCATTTTTCTGCCCAAGTCGAAACTTGTTTTTTCGAGTTCCTCGGAATCTTAACGAAACCATAGACTGTTTCATGTGTTTTTGGAATTTCTCAGAGTTCCTGGAGCGAACAATAGACACTGTTAAGATGGCCGGAAGCTGTATGGTTTTCTTTCAATTTCTATGACCATAGCAAATTTTTAATATAGGTAGTAAAACGATTCCTCATTAACTGCCAATATCATGGTCGCTGTTCATAGACGATATCGTGATATTGGTATTTCACTTTTTGAAACCTTTGGTTTATTTAACATAAAAAAACGTTACACAAAAATATATAGTGAAGTAGCAAAGATGTGTGCGACAGTCAGCTCTCTGTGCCAAGATTGTGGATTCGATGCCAAGGTTATGGATTCGAAGGCATGGATGATTTAACACAATTTCGCCGTTAGAGACAAAAGCAAGCCACAAATTCACACTGTTGCGTAAATCTTTCACAATTTTGTTATTGTACGGAAAATACGAGTATCGACCTGTCGAAGTGAGTCAGTCCACGTCCTGACGTGGGGATGCAGAAACGCTTCCTTCTTTTCCATTCTCTTGCTCTCCATTGCGTATGTCACCTTTACTCTTTTATCACTATTTTTTCACTGGCCTTCTGTTTGTACTAATCGCCCTCCCGCCGAGCATGGCAACCGGAGAGAATGGAGGGACCTGAGAGTGCGTGTCTGTGCGTACTCATTCACTGCTGCCAAGATCCCAGAATCTAGTGGGTAGTCTGCCTCAAACTCCATTCGCGCTGCTAATCCCGGTGAGCCTTGATGAGTGCGGGGAAATATGTACTGCGTGCCACATAATATTAACGGCGGATTACTCCAAATAAAAAAAAAATGTTAATGGAGGATTATTACTTATAAAACAAACGTTCAACGCCCTCCTAGGGGTTTGGAGGCACGTTGCGTCAGTTTCCCTGATCCATTGAGCAAATGCTGAGATATCCCCTTGTTTTGCTTTTGGACGTAAATGTAGTTTCACTATGCGCACGTTTTGTTGACCTCTACTTTTGCTTGTAATGGTAAGAGTAGAGGTAAGGGTGAGTTACTATTTTGTTAGCAATGCAGAAAAATCATACTTGCCATTCGTTTACTGATGCAAATAAGTTTTCTATAACTCGGAAACGAAAATGTCTATTTTTTCAAATATTGCTAATCTCGCAATTCCCGAGTGTGCGCCGGCAGGCTTCCACGAAGGGCACGGACGGCGGATTGTCAATCGCTGCTTCCGAACGGCTCGTGTTTTGAAATTCCATATTTCCGAAACTCTCTGAGAGGACTTCTATTCCCCTCTTGTTTAGAGATATTTAAGAGAAAATACTCATCATTAATTTGGGTGTGCACATGCGAACGTGCGAATAGACACGAGCCGCCTCTGAGGTAAGCTTAACTTAACATGTGTTACACGCCATGCTGTAATATGTTTTATGTTACCTGAACATTTGTTCAGGAGCCGCCTCTGATTTTCATAGGGGTATCTTACTAGCCTCCACTAGGAGGAATGCTAAGCAGTATGCTGTCATTATAAAGGTTTTGGAGGTACAGTTCACAATTTCATCTCTTATTTAATTTGAATTTCCCTGTTTCAGGAATTACACGCCTTCCTGTGCTAGAAGGGGAAATCAGCCACATCGAAATTCCTCGACTCTCGTCGCATTTGGGAATCACCATTGTGGGCGGCGCCGATACAGCACTAGTAAGTATTTATAATCGCTTCTTAAGATGTTCTGAAATAATGTAGTTACATTGTACGCTGGTCTAATTACCTTTTTTGAGACTGGAACTTGAAAGACTTAACAGCGGAATTCACCAAAACCTCTTAACCCAATAAAAAGACCAGCTTTAAACCAGACCTGCAGAGCATTTTGCACTTTCACTGACCTCGGGAGCCGCGCGCAAGCAACTCGAGTGCAAACGCGGTAGCGTGTAAGGGTGGGGACGCGACTTATTCTAGAGATAGTGACCACTAGTGAGGATGCGCAATTCGAAACGTAGCGCGTAAGTTGAACTAGTGCTACAGAATAGCACAGACTTTTCCGTTTTAGTTTTCTATTTCCTTTGGTCTCGGCTAGCTATTCGGACTTGTCACATACTCTTGCCAGCTACCATCTATCGCCGCCCAAAGTATTTTTATTTTAAATTTTCTTAATTTTTCGTTTTCCTAATAAAACGGAAATATGATTTAAAGAACAGTAAAACATCGTCCTAAATGACAATTTTCTTTGAAAAATTTGGAGCCATTTTTAAGAAAATGGCGTTTAAGTGCTGATGTAAATTCGAAATTTGAAGCTCTTTTTCACAAAGTTTTGAGTTTTCAAAAAACCTCATTTAAAGTTATTTGAAGCACTTCAACTCATAAATACAGTAGTGGTTACACATTGCTTGAAATGTGCATATTAATGGCGTGAGAGATGTTTAATAAAATTATATTTGTGAATTTTTGAAACAAATACCCACAAATGGCCTTTACGTCATATGAAAGAGTCCAATTAGTACTATCCTTTCTAAATGTTGTTAAAAGAAAAAAATTGTTGCCGTTTTTGAGAAAATGGCCCTTCAGGAATTTCTGAAAATACGGAATTTTGAGCTATTTTCACAGAAAACGGTTGAGATTTCCAAGAACTTTATCTGATAATATGTAAAGCACATGTACCAATAAATATAATAATGTAAACAAATCGCCGTTAATGTAGATTTTAACGACGTGAGAGACAAGTCGAAAAAATTAAATTTTTGTAATTTTTGAAGAAAAAAAAGAGCAAACAGGTGAATGTACTCTATGAGATGACATATACATCACTAACCCTACCATAAGTTTAAAGAAAAAAATTGGAGCAGTTTTTGAGAAAAGCTTGTTTTTGATATTTTTAAATTACGCACATTGCAGGCAATATTGCGCGAAAACTATTTAAAATTTTCAAAAAAAAGTGCATGACCTTCATGAAAGAACTCACCATATAGAACAAATTTTATTTGAAGGAAAAATCTGTATCTTCAATTTTATAGTTGTAGGTAAATGTCCAAAAAAGTTCAAACTTTTAAAATTTTCGAAAATTCTCAGTTAACCCTGAAAATGGGACCTACGCCACCTTTATAAGAGTATTTTACTATATTTTTACAAGAAATTTAAAGAAAAAATTTTGTACCGTTTTCGAGAAAATTTTGAAATATACGAGAGGCTTCATGTAAAGTACCCCCAAATTTTGAAGAAAGTTTTTCAAAATTGCAGCCCCTCAAGTCGAGCCAGATCGACCATGCAATATCCATTTTGGAAATAATCCTACGTATGGTTTAGGTGCTAGTAATGTTTACAGAGGGACGGACGTTTTGAAAAAACACTTTTTCTGTATCAGGGGACCCCAAAATGTGTATTGCCGTTGAAATCTCGAAATCGATTTTCCGCAGCATTACGTAACTTTCCCTATACTATGTTTACTCCGTATATGCATATGTATACAGGAAAGTAAAAAGCAATCGACTGTTATTGTTTGATGGTGACAGTAATTAACTATTTTGCATTAACTAGGTTTAATTTAATAAGACAGTTCTATCAAAGCTAAATAATCCTATTGAAAATAAGGATTAGTTTCTGCTCATTTTTCTGACAACAGTACCCGGGCCCCCTTTATAAAAGTAGTAAAGTACACGCGTAGTTTAAATTACACACACACGCACACACACACACACACACACACACACAGACAGAGAGAGAGACAGAGAGAGACAGAGAGAGAGAGACAGAGAGAGACAGAGAGAGAGAGACAGAG